AATAGGACAATAGTTACTCCATGCCAACCTGACGTAAATGATTGTTATCTTTCATACACACCCTTAAAACGATCATTTGTCACTCGCAACAAAATAGTTCATCGAAGTTTGAGGTTACATGGTCATTTGTATGCTCAACATATGACAGAGGGATAACTTGTGTTAAAACAAATAGATTCAAGTAATACAATATGAAAATATGTCCTCCGAACTACCTAAGGTGTTCAGAAAACAGCACCTAGTAAATAAAACCGACAAAAGCATTTCCACATTCATAAGAAATATCTGCTCTAAGCAGAGTCAGTTGTACAATTGTGACTCTATCATGAGAATATATATTTGTTTCAGTATTACAGTGTAACACATGACAAATTCAGAACGTGGAAATGGCGACACGATTAAGCTCAGCTGCTCAAAGGCACTTTGTTTTTCTCTCGTTCACTGGATGTCAATCTCAACGGCACATCTTATTGTCAATCTCAACTCTCTGGGGACCATACAACTTATGAAGCCACTAGGCACACCGTCTTGTTTTTGGCATTCCCATCCTTACCCATGCACAGCTGGGTTGACTGGGACACATAGTCACAGTACTTTGTCGAAGTTTACTGCACGTTGCTGTACCCGCAACTGGGTGTTTGCACGTATTCACGTGACCACTATCTGTTGTAGTGTCGCGTTCCGCTGTCGCCCCGGAGTTAGTTAAGTACAACACCAGATGTTATCAGTTATCAGAAACGCCGTAAGAGTAATAACTAATAATAACAAATAACATAAACTTTTCATAGTAAGTACATCCAGGATATTACAGAGGCATTGTTTTAAAATACAATTATAATCAAGACATACAACAAACACTTTGCTAATTATATATGGTCCTATACATCCGTCATCTAACTTTAAATTGATAAGAATTTCATTGTAAGCTTACAAATACCGACAGACAAACATAGATATTCTGAATCACATTATATTTTTTCTACTTTATAACTATTGTGTGCCAAGTCACGAAATATAGCAACCTTATCCTTCCTATGACTGACGTCTTCATAAAAATCTCCCACCTTAGGCAGCTCTTCACGGTTGGCCTTCCTCATACACGGTGTTATGTCATCCTGACATCGCATGTCAGATAAATTAACTGCGTTGGAACAAACTATCGCATTACAAAGTCTCTGCTAGTAGGTTGACAATAGGACAATAGTTATTCCATGACAACTGACGCAAATAGCGGGACTTCCATTGTCAGCTTGCATAAACAACCTTAAAACGATCACCTCTCAAATGGAACAAAATAATTCATCGAAATGAGTGAGTATGGTTTTACGCCGCTTTTAGCAATGCCCAAGCAATATCACGGCGGGGAGTTCATCAAAGGGAGAAGTTACATGGTCATTTGTATGCTCAACATGTGACAGAGGAATATCTTGTTGTGTTAGAAGAAATAGATTCTAGTAATACAATATGAAAATATGTCCTAATATGAACTACCTAAGGTGTTCACAAAACAGTACCTAGTAAATAAGCGACAAAATCCCTTACACATTCATAAGCGTACTCTGCTAAAATCAGAGTCGGTTGCACAATTGTGACTATATCATGAGCATATATTTGTTTCAGCACTTTTACTGTGTAACACATGTACACATTCAGAACGTGGAAATGGGCGACACGATAAACGTAACATTGTAAGTTGTTGTTCACTGGTCAGGAGTAGGACTGCAACGATTCACACAGACCTCGATTCGATTTGCAACATTGGACCCTCGATTCGATCATTTTCCATTCGATTCTTCATACAGGTAAAACATCTGATTTTATTTAGCTCTCAGAGTCTGTTTGGCGTTAAATCCATCGTCAACTTGGCGGTACGACTAACAAGAATTCTCATTGGATAATAATCAACCAATCACGCCTTCGCTCGAAACTGCTCGAGTTGGGAGTCAAATTTACGTTCTGGCTGCATGGAAATAATTTAAATAAGTATTACAATATCGAATCGAACTAGTGATGATGGTTATCGGAAATCGACATTAAGGTGTCAGATTTGAGTTTCGATAAATCGAACCGAATCGTTGCAGTCCTAGACACGAGGGGGGCATGAGTTGATGTACCCTCTATGGTTGCTTATGTTTTCTGTGTCAACCTATAGACCACGAGGGAACTGTGTACAGCGTATTTATCTTACCGAACACCTCAATGTTAATTTTGAACAGTTTGAAACACGGGTACCGGATCATAATAAGGTGTACCAGGGTTAAGCAATTAGCCAATACCGACCATCGCTAGATTTTCAGATGACATAGAATGTAGCAGACGACAAGAAAAATTTAGAGTTACCTCCCTTCCACCTATTTGCATTCGCTAAACATCATACTTGACTCGAGATAAAGCATTACTAACACGAAGTTACAAATGAACTCCCATAGTTCGGCATTCCCAGCGGGTAACATAGAAAACGTTTATCGTTTGTAAGCGGGGTACACTGAAAACAATGAAAGAGGGCTCAGCCAATCAGAAAACGACATTTATGTGTGAGGTAAGATGAGAGATATTGTTGAAGTTGTTCAGGAACCGGTGCTAACTAAAAGTGTATCAATGATGAATGAATGATCATCAGACAGTTGTGTTTGATAGAATGTTCGTTAAATATATAGACTGCCGTTGGCTGTTACTCGTCTATCTACACAAAGATCGAGTCCTCAATTTTGATGTCACTTCTCTTGTTTACTAGCATGGTTCGAAGCCAGTATATACTCCAACTATGTGGATTCTCTCAATGCATGACAAAACACCGAGGTCGAGATCACCAGGTCGAAACGAAACAAAGCTTCTACATTATTCCTGCTACGGGTTATTCCGAGGAGGGGCGGTGGTGTAGCCTAATGGTTAAAGAGTCCGCTCGTCACGCTGAAGACCCGGGTTCGATTCCCCACATGGGTACAATGTGTTAAGCTCATTTTGGGTGTAACCCGCCATGATATTGCTGGAATAGTGCTAACAGTGGCGTAAAACCATACTCACTCACTATTCACAGCAACGTGGAAGAAGCCCCTTAGTGTTTATGTCTAGTGATGAACGAATGAGCGGGAAAAGATTTTGATGATACACCACTGAACCTCAGTTTTTGCGGTCATGTGACCGACCACTCGTCCAGCGGAAAATATGCGTGTGTTGGTAACTTCACATTTAAAAACTGTGTACAGTTAACATAAGCCGTTAAATTTATTCTGAAGGTGGCATACTATACTGCAGACTATCCTTTACGTGATGGCAATTTTGGCACATACTAAACTACATCCACCATCTTTCCCGTTTCGTAAATACATAATATAGAAATTAAGATATCAGTAGCATCCTTTAAGTTGGTTTCATGCTACTTGAACACAATCATGACAAAATAGTTTACATATTTATTTCACACATACGACGCATACAATATTGTTAAAAAGAAATATTTTCTTATATTCAAAACACTGAAAAATGACACATATTAACTGAATCGTACCACAAACTAAACAAATGGAAACTTCTCTCAAAATTTCTACAAAACAGGTATAGTAATGGTCATAAATATATTTTTCAAAAACTTTTGCTATGACAACCATATATAATTCTAACAAATTATAATATATCATTCTAACATGTTAAACATATTTGACTAAAACAATTGCTGCAAAGAAGCATGTGAAGTTTCAGCTTCACTGGTCCAGAGGATTAATGATAGAATGTACATGATACACAATAAACAAGCAGGAAATAACCTAACCTCACCTCCTGTCAGGTACAGTTATAACACTATTCGGTCAATCTGTATTCGGTATTTAAAAGGACACAGGCCTATATTACATGACACAATATTTACAACTGAGCAGCAGACAAACCTATGTCAAGTATTTACAGATTACAAATGTCAAACAGAATGTGTTAATAATGCAAAGGAATCTTAGCTTATGTTTAAAAAATGACAACACACTTGTGTTGAACTTCAGAAACGTTCAATTAACCTCTTGAACAACAAATACGTTTTAATGTTCGCGTAACATTCTTCACATGGATTCGTGTGCCGTATGCTCGCTAACACTGACAGTCGGTCTGGGATCTAGTGTCGGTGTCTTCTTAAGCCTATGATTTTCAATCTTCACTTCATAATCCACTACATCTATCATAACCAGACATGAATTTCCTTTGATCGAAAGACTCATAGTACCGTAACCACGGCCGTCAATACGGATACGATCGCCCACACATGAGTGTAGTCTAGTGGTCACGCCGAAGACCCGGGTTCGAATCCCCACATGGGTACAATGAGTGAAACCCATTTCTGGTTTCCCCCGCAGTGATATTGCAGGAATATTGCTAAAAGCGGCGTAAAACCAAACTCAGTCAATCTTGTGAGTGTAATAAACTTTTACCACCTGTCTTTCATTTATCAATGATAACATTTAAGCTAATTATAAACCTCTATCTAGCACAAGGGTTATATTTCCCTCATTACTGAACCAGATTTTACGTTTTCTTTGCATTATTAAAACATTACATTTCAATGAATTTTGTAAAAGCTTCTGTTTTAAAACGCTGCAAGACTCAGTTCTGCCATGGCCACCTGAAAGTCGGGAGACTTCGACAGACAAACCATTGATTGTGAACACCATTTATACCATAAGAGTATGATGGCAAGGAATAAGCAAAGGAACCGATTTTGATCACCCGATTCGTTAAAGTCGCCTATTAAAACAAAAGGTAGCTAGGTCTCAAAAGTCTGTCTCGGAATACAAACAACATTATTAATATATATTGGTCATACAATGTGGTTGTATATATATAAGCAGATGTTGTAGGAGCTTACACAGTAAAACTGCCTTAAGACGGAGATGGAATAAGAGCTATCGTTATTGTTCCCAGCCTTCACAAGTTCATATTACATGATGGAATCTTTTGTGAGGGACGCGAGTATCCAAAGACGTGTCCCGGAACTGCTGATATGGAATCCTTCGAAAGGCTGAATGAACAGGAGCATGACTCAGGCATGAATATTAGGCTTGTCACGGAATGGTACGAGTTGGTGAGGAATGTTGCGGAATCCAGCAAACCTCTCTGTTGTCAGATATGGTGCATTCGTTGAACACTTCACAGTTTACTTGACCGATTTATTTGGTTTCACCATTTTATGGTGGGAATTGAACTTGTTAGTTTTTGGACCGTTTTTCTCTCTCCTCCTTTCTGCCACTTCCAAACACGACAGCCAATGCTATCCCTGCCCCTGCCACAACGGCACCCCCAACAAACGAAGCCACTGCAGCAAACAGACCAGCCTACAGGAAAAGAAAACGATTGATGTTTGATTTGTTTTCTACATTCATAATGTGTTTCCTAAATCCCACACCCACCATATTGCTGTATATTGCTAAGTGCGGCGTTAACTAGACTCACTCACCAAAATCCTAGACAACACTATTTCAACCATACGGTTTTCTGTAAGGAACACCAAATGTTTCTAAACGTGCTGGCTGTCCTGACAGGTAATGTTACGACCTAAAGGGAAACCGTTTGAAATCTCTTCTTAATAAAGAATGAGTGAGTTGCGATGTACATCAGCAATATTCCAGCAATATCACGCCAGAGGATACCAGAGTTGTGCTACACAAATCGTAATCGTACCCGTTTGTGAAATTTAAACCGAAGAACATGTACGTCTCAAAAGAGATATTTGCAAATAGATCCGTATGGCGAAAACCCATTTGCGAACAGAATACAACAGTTTAAAAGCAGACGTCGTAGCAAGACAGGAAGAGTGCAAAAGCTTTCTTTCTAGTTCCTTAATTCTTCAGTGATCAGTTCATATTAATTTGACCACTCTTTTACCATTGAAGGCAATCTGTTCGGCAACAGAGAGATTGACCTCCTATGGTATTGATATTTTATGTCAAGATACAACGTGACAATTTGCTACACTACCTTCCCTACCTGACTACCAGACTGTTATTCATTTATGTGTAGGTTTTACACTTCAATATCGAATTTAGATGTCCCTTCGCAAGACTACCTTCCAGAATTTGCTACAGTTAATACATCTTTTGTATATGTGACCAGTGGCAAGATAAATAGTTGTCTGAGCAGATCTACACATAATTAAACGTAATTAATTAAACAAATAAACCTGGCAAAGGAACAGTTGGACAAATACAAACCTGATCACTTTTTTCTATGTCATACCGGCACCATGTAGCAAAGTGTTCACAGTTCTTGTAGAGCAAGTTATATCCAACTTCTCTAACTTTGGATAATGCTCTTTGTACTATCTTAGATGGTTCCAAGGGTCTGGAAACAACAGAACAACAATGTGATCATTTGGAATTCAATTCCTTGGTATTAATGGGGACGAGGGAAAGACCTCAAAAACTGGATAAATACCATTGTTCAGGATTTAAAAAAAGAACCGTTCTTCCAGGATTGTTGCTGGGAGTAACTTTCACTTCCGACAGTATCAATTATTGTTGTTGTTTTTCTGGTCCAGAATCAATTGTTTAAATGTGACACCGTCCTACAGCTAGAGCAAAAATCACTGCTGAATTGAACAACAAACAAAACTTACTTGAATTTCAAATCCTTGAAGTTGTTTATTTCCGCTTTGCTGTCTTCAGTGACTGTCCAAAAATCGTCTTTGCGAACGATTCCTTTATCAGACTTAACTCCAGATATTGTGCATGGGTGCTTCAGGTCCCTTCCACCTGCACCATCGACTCCAGCCAAGTGCACGACTTCGTCGTTACCTAAATAACACATGAGAATATAATAACATTATTTATTACAAGATGTGTGATGCAGTTTTGTCAGAAATATCCGAATGCCCAATAAACAACCTCTTTATAAATTTCATGATATGATTTGGCGTTAAAGAACATATGTTCACGCATAAATCTTTCAGAAAAGGTATGTTCAAGTCAATATAGGATCTACATGTTTAAACATTTATGTGATTTAATATTTACACCTTGACACATAAGGTTCTGAAACTCACAAATCATAGACATATGGTTGCATTGTTTCTTTGTTGTTCAAAAGTAACTTTCCAACTATATGATGACTTTCTGTAAACAATCGAGTCTGGACCAGATCATCCAGTGATTGGCATCATGAGGATGCAGCAACCAAGTCAACGGCTCGATCGCCTCTTACGACAAGCATGGGTTACTGAAGACCAACTATAACTCAGATAATGTCAGATGTATTTTGTTGTAAATCTCTATACGTATTTTGAATACCAACAATTCCATGGATAAATGCTCATGATTTCAATCACTGCATTGCCTGAGCCAGCTGTGATTATTTACAACTGCTGTCATATACCACGTATATTGCTGACGCAGCATTCAACAAGAAACACGCAGAAACAAACACTCGATTTTACATTAATAGTTTGTCGCACTACACTTACCAACATACACAGCCCAGTGACTGTACACTCCTCGGTCAAACTTCAACAAGTCACCTGGTTCCAAGTGGTCAAGTACTGTCCAGTTGTGTGTCTGTAGTTCATGGGACGAAAATTTCTTTACTCTTTAGCTATGCATTTGGTGAACTGTGTCTACAAATATTTATTTATCCCCGCATTTTGCAACATTCCAGCAATATAATTGCCAGAAATGGGTACATTGTACCCATAAGAAGGTGAAGAACAATTGCGTCAACCGCTACCACACCATCCCTCGTAAAGAAGAACTTGTAGGTCTTGAGTGAGATATTTGTAAATAGGTTATTATGGCGAAAACGCTCAGGCTAACATGAGACTGCGTTCAAAAGCAGACTGGCTACCAGAAGACGAGACTGTGATTCTTTGATGGTCGGGCATTACACCTCAACATCGAAGTTAGATGTCTATTCTTAACAATTCCCTCCAGAATTGGCAAATAGTACATAAGTCTTTTGTTTATGTGACCAGTTGCAAGATAATTATTTTTGTCTGAGCAGATCTAAACGTATTACAAATCTAGTCCAATTTACAGAGCTTGACAAATGAGCTGGCAAAGGGATAGTTGGACAAATACAAACCTCAGTTTCTGTGTAATACCGGCACCATGAAGCGAATTGTTCACAGTTCTTAAAGAGTGTGTCATATCCAACTTCTCCAAGATTGGATAGTGCTCTTTGCACTATCCTATTAGGTTCATATGGTCTGTCAACAGCAGTACAACAATGTGAACATTTGGAACTTAATTCATTGGTACTAATGGAGGCGATAAAAAGAATATGAACCATTGTCCAGGATTTCACAATGAACCGTTCTTCTAGGGTCGTTTCTGGGGGTAACATTTACTTTGCAACAGTATCATTTATTGGTTTATCTGATCCAAAATCAATTATATAAATGTCATGCCATCTTACAGCAGGAAAGATGAGGAGTACTGAAGTGAATAACAAACAAAACTCACCTTAATTTTGCGTCCTTTGAGTTGTCCAAGTACACTTTGCTATCTCCAGCAACTGACCAAAAATTATCTATGCGAACGATTCCAACTCCACTTATTGCGAATGAGTGATTCAGAGTAGTTTCCCCTTGATCACGCACTCCAGCCAAGTGCACGATTTTCTGGTTACCTAAATAACACATGACAAATATGTTATTATGAAGTTAGATACCTGCGCAGTCTTGTCAGAATAACGGAATGACCGATACACAACCTCTTTATCAACTTCATGATATGACATGATGTTCTAGGTGTTCATTAATTAATCTTTGTACATACAGGTTATATATAGTATCTATGCGTAAACGTTAAGCATGTCAGAGATTGACTATTTACACCTTGGCAAGAACATCCTGTAAACAATTGTGTCTGGGTCAGACCATCCAATGATTGGCATCATGATACTGTGCGCGCGCACACACACACACACACACACACACACACACACAAGCATGCGTTGCTGAGCGCAAATTTTAATTGGACTATTCGCAGGGAGGACATATGCATTATCAAATACATTGAATGACAGAATACTTATTCACGTTTCCATTGTGTAGATCTCAAAATATCAGACATCTCTTATTGTGATCTTATATGCTCAGACATCTCTTAGTGTGATCTTCTATGCTTGAATCTTTGAATACCAACAATTGCCTGGATCGATGCTTATAATTTCAACCACTAGACTGCCTGAAACAGCCGAATATTCCAGATATAGCATTCAACAAGGGAATAGCAGACACAAAAATGCAATAATATTTTGTCACACTACACTTACCAACGTACACAGCCCAGTGTTGGAACAGTCCTCGCTCAAACTGCAACCTATCACCTGGTTTCAATTTGTCAAGTACTGTCCGGTTATGCCTATGTAGTTCAAGGGAGGACATATTTACTCTTCAACTATACAGTTAGTATACGACTAGAAGATGAATTTGTCCATTAAGGTCAATGAACTGCGGAAACATTACATGGTCAAGCAACCAAAAAGCGAAACCGCAACTGATTTGATTATAGTTATTGCTAATATTGCTGATATTACTGAGTAAGACTGTCACCTTCAACGCATTTCCTGTGCCTTATCACCTTACAATCTCGAAAGGAAATTCCATTTCCAAATGCCTGTGTTTAAGTGTAGATGAATAAAAATACATTTGTATGTGTGAAAAATAGTAATCATCATTAGGCTCATACAGATTAATAACATGTTTTCTTTGGGGAAGTTTGGAACCTTGGAAATATGTTTTACAGATATATACTGGAGACATGATTATAAGCTTCAAAATCGTAAACATGCACTGCATCACATTTACTAAGGGATACATACTTTAGGAATCACCTTACTACTATTCACTGTATAGCTGAAGAGTGTGTTATAATGTTGCATCATGCTGTAATAGTGTTGTAATGTTGCACCATCCTGTAATAGTCATAATGTTGCATCATGCTGTAATAGTGTTATAACGTTGCATCATGCTGTAATAGTGTTGTAATGTTGCATCATGCTTTAACAGCGTTATAATGTTGCACCATGTTGTAATAGTGTTATAATATTGCATCGTGCTGTAATAGTGTTATAATGTTGCATCATGCTGTAATAGTGTTATAATGTTGCATCTTGCTGTCATAGTGTTATAAAGTTGCATGGTGCTGTAACAGTGTTTTAATGTTGCATCATGCTGTAATAGTGTTATCATGTTGCATCATGATGTAATAGTGTTATCATGTTGCATCATACTGTAAAAGTGTTTTAATGCTGCATCTTCCTGTAATAGTGTTATGATGTTGCATCGTGCTGTAACAGTGTTATCATGTTGCATCTTGTTGTAAAAGTGTTATGATGTTGCATCAAGCTGTAATAGTGTTATAATCTTGCATCATGCTGTAATAGTGTTATAATTTTGCATCATGCTGTTATAGTGCTGTAATGTTGCATCATGACGTAATGTGTTATAATGTTGCATCATCCTGTAATAGTGTTATGATGTTGCATCGTGCTGTAACAGTGTTATGATGTTGCATCTTGTTGTAACAGTGTTATCATGTTGCATCTTGCTGTAATAGTGTTATCATGTTGCATCTTGCTGTAATAGTGTTATAATGTTGCATCATCATGTAATAGTGTTATGATGCTGCATCATGATGTAATAGTGTTATGATGTTGCATCATGATGTAATAGTGTTATGATGTTGCATCGTACTGTAAAAGTGTTATGATGTTGCATCATGCTGTAACAGTGTTATCATGTAGCATCATCCTGTAATAGTGTTATGATGTTGCATCGTGCTGTAACAGTGTTATCATGTTGCATCATGCTGTTATAGTGTTATAATGTTGCATGATGCTGTAATAGTGTTATAATGTTGCATCATGCTGTAATAGTGTTATAATGTTGCATCATGCTGTTATAGTGTTATAATGTTGCATGATGCTGTAATAGTGTTATAATGTGGAATCATGCTGTAATAGAGTTATAATGTTGGATCAAGCTGTAATAGTGTTATAACGTTGCATCATGCTGTATTAGTCTTATTATGTTGCATCATGCTGTAGTAGTGTTATAATGTTGCATCATGCTGTAATAGTGCTGTAATGTCGCATCATGCTGTATTAGTGTTATAATGTTACATCTTGTTGTAATAGTGTTATAATGTTGGATCATTCTGTAATAGTGTTATAATGTTGCATCATGCTGTAATAGTGTTATAATGTTGGATCATTCTGTAATAGTGTTATAATGTTGCATCAAGCTGTAATAGTGTTATAATGTTGCATCATGCTGTAATAGTGTTATAATGTTGCATCATGCTGTAATAGTGTTATAATGTTGGATCATTCTGAAATAGTATTATAATGTTGCATCATGCTGTAATAGTGGTATAATGTTGCATCATGCTGTAATAGTGTTATAATGTTGGATCATTCTGTAATAGTGTTATAATGTTACATCATTCTGTAATAGTGTTATAATGTTACATCTTGTTGTAATAGTGTTATAATGTTGGATCATTCTGTAATAGTGTTATAATGTTGCATCATGCTGTAATAGTGTTATAATGTTGGATCATTCTGTAATAGTGTTATAATGTTGGATCATTCTGTAATAGTGTTATAATGTTGCATCAAGCTGTAATAGTGTTATAATGTTGCATGATGCTGTAATAGTGTTATAATGTTGCATCATGCTGTAATAGTGTTATAACGTTTCATCATGCTGTATTAGTCTTATTATGTTGCATCATTCTGTAATAGTGTTATAATGTTGGATTAATCTTTAATAGTGTTATAATGTTGCATCATGCTGTAATAGAGTTATAATGTTGGATCAAGCTGTAATAGTGTTATAACGTTGCATCAAGCTGTATTAGTCTTATTATGTTGCATCATGCTGTAGTAGTTTTATAATGTTGCATCATGCTGTAATAGTGCTGTAATGTCGCATCATGCTGTATTAGTGTTATAATGTTACATCTTGTTGTAATAGTGTTATAATGTTGGATCATTCTGTAATAGTGTTATAATGTTGCATCATGCTCTAATAGTGTTATAATGTTGGATCATTCTGTAATAGTGTTATAATGTTGCATCAAGCTGTAATAGTGTTATAATGTAGCATCATGCTGTAATAGTGTTATAATGTTGGATCATTCTGAAATAGTATTATAATGTTGCATCATGCTGTAATAGTGTTATAATGTTGCATCATGCTGTAATAGTGTTATAATGTTGGATCATTCTGTAATAGTGTTATAATGTTACATCATTCTGTAATAGTGTTATAATGTTACATCTTGTTGTAATAGTGTTATAATGTTGGATCATGCTGTAATAGTGTTATAATGTTGCATCATGCTGTATTAGTGTTATAATGTTGGATCATTCTGTAATAGTGTTATAATGTTGCATCAAGCTGTTATAATGTTGCATGATGCTGTAATAGTGTTATAATGTTGCATCATGCTGTAATAGTGTTATAATGTTGCATCATGCTGTTATAGTGTTATAATGTTGCATCATGCTGTAATAGTGTTATAATGTTGGATTATTCTGTAATAGTGTTATAATGTTGCATCATGCTGTAATAGTGTTATAATGTTGGATCAAGCTGTAATAGTGTTATAACGTTGCATCAAGCTGTATTAGTCTTATGTTGCATCATGCTGTAATAGTGCTGTAATGTCGCATCATGCTGTATTAGTGTTATAATGTTGGATCATTCTGTAATATTGTTATAATGTTGGATCATTCTGTAATAGTGTTATAATGTTGCATCATGCTGTAATAGTTTTATAATGTTGGATCATTTCACTAATAGTGTTATAATGTTGCATCAAGCTATAATAGTGGTATAATGTTGCATCATGCTGTAATAGTGTTATAATGTTGCATCATCCTGTAATTGTGTTATAACGTTGCATCATGCTGTATTAGTCTTATTATGTTGCATCGTGCTGTAATAGTGTTATAATGTTGCATCATGCTGTAATAGTGTTATAATGTTGGATCATTCTGAAATAGCATTATAATGTTGCATCATGCTGTAATAGTGTTATAATGTTGCATCATGCTGTAATAGTGTTATAATGTTGGATCATTCTGTAATAGTGTTATAATGTTGCATCATGCTGTTATAGTGTTATAATGTTGCATGATGCTGTAATAGTGTTATAATGTTGCATCATGCTGTAATAGAGTTATAATGTTGGATCAAGCTGTAATAGTGTTATAACGTTGCACCAAGCTGTATTAGTCTTATTATGTTGCATCATGCTGTAGTAGTGTTATAATGTTGCATCATGCTGTAATAGTGCTGTAATGTCGCATCATGCTGTATTAGTGTTATAATGTTACATGTTGTTGTAATAGTGTTATAATGTTGGATCATTCTGTAATAGTGTTATAATGTTGCATCATGCTGTAATAGTGTTATAATGTTGGATCAAGCTGTAATAGTGTTATAATGTTGCATCAAGCTGTAATAGTGTTATAATGTTGCATCATGCTGTAATAGTGTTATAATGTTGCATCATGCTGTAATAGTGTTATAATGTTGGATCATTCTGAAATAGTATTATAATGTTGCATCATGCTGTAATAGTGTTATAATGTTACATCATGCTGTAATAGTGTTATAATGTTCGATCATTCTGTAATAGTGTTATAATGTTACATCATTCTGTAATAGTGTTATAATGTTACATCTTGTTGTAATAGTGTTATAATGTTGGACCATTCTGTAATAGTGTTATAATGTTGCATCATGCTGTAATAGTGTTATAATGTTGGATCATTCTGTAATAGTGTTATAATGTTGCATCAAGCTGTAATAGTGTTATAATGTTGCATGATGCTGTAATAGTGTTATAATGTTGCATCATGCTGTAATAGTGTTATAACGTTTCATCATGCTGTATTAGTCTTATTATGTTGCATCATGCTGTAATAGTGTTATAATGTTGCATCATGCTGTAATAGTGTTATAATGTTGGATTAATCTTTAATAGTGTTATAATGTTGCATCATGCTGTAATAGAGTTATAATGTTGGATCAAGCTGTAATAGTGTTATAACGTTGCATCAAGCTGTATTAGTCTTATTATGTTGCATCATGCTGTAGTAGTTTTATAATGTTGCATCATGCTGTAATAGTGCTGTAATGTCGCATCATGCTGTATTAGTGTTATAATGTTACATCTTGTTGTAATAGTGTTATAATGTTGGATCATTCTGTAATAGTGTTAGAATGTTGCATCATGCTCTAATAGTGTTATAATGTTGGATCATTCGTAATAGTGTTATAATGTTGCATCAAGCTGTAATAGTGTTATAATGTTGCATCATGCTGTAATAGTGTTATAATGTTGGATCATTCTGTAATAGTGTTGTAATGTTGCATCAAGCTGTA